GAACATTTAAATGCTAGTTAAAATTAACAGAACATTTAACTTAGACATTTATGTGTAACTGGTTTCAGATCGCCTTCGCATGTACACACCTTCATGTCCACTACAATTACTTCTGCGACGTCTATTATTACAACTAGCAGTTATTGTTGTTTGTTTCAGCCGCGTCGCTCTTCCCTTGTTAGAAGGCGGGCTGTTCGGCGCGTCTTCTCACTTTGGATCAGATGTTACGCTTTGTTGTCATTACAAAATCTAATAATAGTGTAGTGGACCCTGAGGTCCATTTAGTTTTTATTTTATTAAATTATACCTCGCTAGTAGCAATGCTTACTATTTATTTATTTTTCTGTCTTGTTTTACCCCATTTTAAACGATTGCTGTGAACTATAAACAAGCAGTTAACCGCCAACAGCTCAGGGGGAGGGATGAAGTTTCTGCCTACCTTTTTGGCGGGTTTTCGGCAGTTCACCCTGACCCTCGAAGCTGGCTGGATCTGTGTCTTGTTTACGTTTTGTGATAACTATTTGTGAAGCTTTGTGCAACGCGCCCAGTGTTATTTTTTACTTTTTATAATATACTCTTTTAATGTGAAGATCCTTTTTTAAATCTTTTATATTATATGTGCTAAGCACTCAAGGTGCAAACTTACTCGGAACCCAGCCAGCCCCACCACAAGTGTCAGAGTGGGCTCGCGAACCACCGCGGAGGGTGCTTGCTACAGAATTGGTGGCAGTGGTGGGATATTTGCATAAGATAAGTATACATGTTTTGGTCATTCCTTTGTGATTGTGCTAATATCCCGAATCCACAGAATCATTCCAATTGATCTTGGTCTTTTCATGTTTTGTATTTTTAATTCGTTCACAATGCTCTTCTGCTAGTTTTCTCTCCGTTGTTGTAACGTAACATTTGTGATTTGCCTTTTTTATTACATTTACTTTGTAGCGATTTGTTTTATCTTCTCTTACCCTTGGTTATTTATTGGTTTATTGGGATACACTATTATTATTTTATGGTCTTGTGTGTATTTGATTTTATTGTGTTCTTAATCGTGTTTTACTTTTGCTTTTATTTGTTTTTTATTTTGCAATTTCCAGGGTTCTTCCTCATTCACTTTTACTTGATTCATTTCTACTTTTACCTCCATTTTATATGTATTAATGCTGTAATTTTACTCTCGTTTGTCATTATTTTCATTTGTTTTAATATAATCTGCCAGGATTGTTACTTTCTCCAGTCGGGATTTTTACCCATTTTACCCAATTTAATTTTATTTGTCTGAATAGTTTTTTTTATTGTCAGTAGTCTGTGACGGAAAATTATATTGTTGTTATTGTCCGCAGATTCTGATGCTTGTCCTGGTCGAAATCCGTGCACGACCTCGAGTGTGGCTGTGTGTGTGTGTGTAATTTAGTAATGTGTCGCTGCCAGCCTGCACAGCTCTTCTCTTGTGTGGTGACGTCGGCGATCACTCCCAGCCGGCATACAACCTACGCAACAGGACTCCTCGTTGTCCCATCTCTCAGCCTCTCAACCGCGCTACTCGACGGGCGATATTCAGGACTGTCAAAAGGATGGGCAAGCTTAAACCCTCCCAGCAAGGGTCAGGTGCCTCTATCCCCCCGGAGCGATCACCAACACATGGTCCGAGTTCCAGGCCTGATCTGCAGGAAGTATCTATGCCTGAGCCAGATGCAGACAGCCAACCAGAGCGCCAGGATGAAGTAGCAGCAGGTGCGCAGTCTTTATCCAGGGTGCTTGCCCAGCTTGAACGTACTTCTGTACAGCTGCAGCGTGCGTTATCCCACATTGAAGTTGGCTCCAACCAACCCACCCAAGCATCACAACCAAGAGTACTCGGGCAAGGTGGTGCCTTGTCCATGGGTGTTTCCGAACCGTTGCGCCCTGCCATGGTCAACAGTGAAGTACATAGCACACCTCTGCAACAGACCTGTCAACCGCCTCCAGCTGCCAGAGCCCCTACATCCGGTATGTTGTCAACACCACCTCTTCTGCAGCCCATAACTCACAACTACCCGGCTGCTGGTGTTTCTGCTCCTCCCTCCTTCCCTAGTGGCCGTGACGAAATACCAGTGTTTTATGGGGAGACTCCTGCGTCCCTTGGCCTGCAGCACAATCAAGAGATCGAGTCATGGATTGCCAGCATCGACCTCCTGACTCGCCCTGCCACTGATGACGCATACATTCGCATGGCCAGGGGCAGATCATGGGGATACACCCAGATGGTACTCAGGACCGCTGTTTGAGGGAGTGACACAGTGGCACGAGTTCAAGGCCAGATTGCAGGCAAAGTTCAGAGGTACCAGTACGTCCCAACATTTTTTCGCCCTTGGATTTCTATCAGGTTGTCGAAATGGCCGTAATGCAGGGAGCCCGTGACTATCCTCATGACATCAGGGATATCAAAGGGCTTAGTGAGGAGGACATTCACTGCTGAAGCGGATCTCACTTTTACCATTCATCCAAGGTCAGACATCATTCACCGAACCTGTGTTGTCAATGGCCTCAATTTCCCCGGTGATCTCCTGCTTGGAATGGACCTGCTCCAGCGACTCTCTTTCCGTTTTTCTTCAGTACTGAGCCCCCTGGTAACTATGTGGAGCTCAGTGGCCACCGTTGTGATGTTCGCTTTACGAAGTTGGAATCACCTGCCCCACTACACATTCCTGCATGCCATGAAATACAGGAGAGTCGAACAGAAGCCTCTACTTCTCAGCCATCTAGGTGTATCTCCCCTGTGCATGTAGCAGAAAGCGCTGTTGTGGAACCCCGATCTGGAAGATTTCTGTCAGCCAATGTATCTTGCTTTGTCCCTACCAATGCCCACCTTGCTCTCATTGAAGGTAGCACCAGTCGCCTAACAGTACCACGTACCTTCGTCGCCGTTCACGATCGGCGATCCAGTGTATGGGTAATGAACCCATACCCCAAGCCCAGGAAGGTGAGTCCTGGCACCGTCATTGGGTATGCAGAGTTCCTGGAACCAGACGACATAACACCTGTTGGAGCGGATGTAGCAGTCCTCAACACCACCACTGAAGTCCATACCTCATCCGATCCTGCTCCTGGGTTAAGGCAAAACCCATCATCTACCTTAGATGTTGACCCTCTAGGTGATAATGACAGTCCATCTGAGGGCGAGTTCCTAGACGATGAGTTTGACAGCTTTGATGCTTGTCTTAATTTCGGGTACCAGGACAGTGAATTCTTTGTGTTCCCAGACACGCTAGCTTTGGATAAGGCACGCCAGCAGGATATATCAAAAGTGGCTTCTGCAGGAAGAGATACTGTTAGTGACCAACCAGCCTGGACCCAGTTGCCGCTTGACCACCTCACTGCTGATCAGATAGCTCAGCTGACCACTATGCTGAACAACTTCCCAGGCCTCTTCTCTGGGAACAAGTTCACAGTTGGAGCCGTACCTGGGGTGCAGCACCGTATAGAGACGACAACCAGTGACCCTGTCTGTGTAAGGCAATGGAGACTTCCCCAAGTCACAAAAGAAGTCAACAGGGCAGAATGTGATCAAATGCTGGCCCAAGGGGTGATTGAACATTCATCATCTCCTTGGTTATCCCCTGTAGTCCTCGTCCGCAAGAGGGATGGCTCGCACCGTTTCTGTGTTGACTACAGGGCAGTCAATAAGGTGACCACCCCTGACACCTATCCGCTCCCTTCAGTTGATGACATCCTGGACTCATTATCTGGCTGGATGTGGTTCACAGTCCTGGATAGTAGATCGGCATATTGGGCGATCTCAGTCCACCCTGATGACCACCCCAAGACCGCCTTTACAGATGGTAACAGATTGTTCCAGTTCTGCCGCCTACCCTTTGGACTATCCACTGCACCCACATTCCAGCGGACCATGAACATCGTGCTTGCTTCAGTGTTAGGGCACCACACTCTTGCCTACCTTGATGATGTGGTCATAGTGTCATCGTCCTTTGATGGCCACCTACAGGACTTGCAAGACACACTGGGGCTTTTAGAAGGAGCAGGGATGAAGCTGAATCTTGAGAAATGTGAGTTTGCTAAGCATCAGGTGAAGCTCCTGACCCTTGACAAGACTAACGAAATAAGGTGTAAAGTGTGAGTGGGGAGAAACACCACAGACGGCCTTTGACACCTTGAAGAAGGCCTTAGTGAGGGCCCCTATTTTACGTCTCCCAGACTTCAGCCAGCCCTGTGAGGCCCATTCAGATGCTAGTCTCCAGGCCCTTGGAGCTGCCCTCCTCCAACGAGATGCTGAAGGGGTGCCCTACGCCATTGCCTACTGGTCACAGGTGCTAAAGGAGGCTGAGACACGTTATCCAACGATAGACCTGGAGGCCCTTGCTGTCGTGGAAGCTGTACGTGTGTTTAATCCGTACATCTATGCTCGGTATTTTACTATATGGACAGATCACCAGCCTCTAACCCATGTCTTCTCACACCGAACAAAGAGCAACAGGCTGTCGTTATGCACATGAGCTCGGGGAATACGACTTTGCTCTGCAGTACAAGCAGGGGGCCAGTAACCTCGTCCCTGACTTTCTCTCAAGACTGGCAGGTGAACTGATCCCACATATAGAAATCTGTCCCATTGAGGTCCCTATCCATCCTCTGAGCCTCCAGACCAGCTTGAACATCATGATCCTGAGCCTCCAGACCAGCTTGAACATCATGATCCTGAGCTAGAGCCTCCAGATCATGATGATCCTCCTGAGCCTCCAGACCAGCTTGCCCTTCAGATGATCCTGAGCCTCCAGACCAGCTTGAACATCATGATCCTGAGCAGCTTGAACATCATGATCCTGAGCCTTGAACATCCTGAGCCTCCAGACCAGCTTGATGATCCTGAGCCTCCAGACCAGCTTGAACATCATGATCCTGAGCCTCAGATCAGCTTGAACATCATGATCCTGAGCCAGAACCTGAGCCTCCAGACCAGCCTGAACACCATGATCCTGAGCCAGAACTGGAGCCTCCCGACCAGCCTG